CTGGGACTCACGCAGGTGGTGAGGACGCTGGCGGCCGCTTTGTCGAAGTGGAAGGAGCGGACGCTGCGCATCCCATCCGTGATGAGAGTCAGAACGTAACTGGGGGGGGACAGGTGGGGGGTGAGGATGGGCTGGGGACAGCGAGTGACAGTGGGGTGGGGACAGTGGGGTGGGGACAATGAGTGACAATGGGACGGGGACAATGGGAATGGGGACAATGAAATGGTGATGATTGGGGATGGAGACAATGGGTGACAATGGAATGGGGACAGTGAGTGACAATGGGATGGAGACAATGAGTGACAATGGGATGGGGACAATGGGGATGGGGACAATGGAGATTGGGACAATGGGTGACAATAGGATGGGGACAGTGAATGACAATGGGATGGGGACAATGAGTGACAATGGGATGGGGACAATGGGAATGGGGACAATGAAATGGTGATGATTGGGGATGGAGACAATGGGTGACAACGGAATGGGGACAGTGAGTGACAATGGGATGGGGACAATGGGACAGGGACAATGGGTGACAATGGGATGGGGACAGTGAGTGACAATGGGATGGGGACAATGAGATGGTGACAATGGGGACGGTGACAATGGGGACGGTGATGATGGGGATGGGGACAATGGGATGGGGACAATGGGTGACAATGGGGATGGGGACAATGAGTGACAATGGGATAGTGAGATTGGAAACGGTGACATTGGGGGTGGTGACAATGGCGGGTGGTGACAGTGGGTGACAATGGGATGGTGACAGTGGGATGGGGACATTGGGATGGGGACAATGGGATGGGGACACTGGGGATGGTGACAAGGGGATGGTGACAAGGGGACAGGGACAATGGAGATGGTGACAGTGGGGATGGGGATAATGGGATGGTGACAACAAGATGGTGACAATGGGGACGGTGACGATGAGGGATGGGGACAGTGGGTGACAATGGGGATGGTGACAGTGGGAAATGGTGACAGTGGGATGGTGACAATGAGTGACAACTGGGATGGTGACAGTGGGATGGTGATGATGGGGATTCGGGATGGGGAGATTGGGGATGGGGACAATGGCAGGTGATGACAATGGGTGACAATGGGATGGTGACAATGGGGGGGAGGTGACAATGGGGGCTGGTGACAACGGGGACCGACGTCTCACATCTCTCCTCCCTTGAGGGAAATCACCATCTTGTCATAGGAGATGAAGGCAGCCTGAGCGCAATCCAGCGTCAGCCGAACCCCATCCTGCATGCCTGGGGGGGGGGGACAGACGGACGTGGGGACAGACGGACAGCAGTGTCACCCCGTGGCTGTGGCAACCCCCAGCCGTGTCACCCCACATCCATTTCACCCCATGGTTCTGTCACCCCACTGCTGTGTCACCCCGTGGTTCTCTCATCCCCCGTATTTATGTCACCCCACATCCGTGTCACCCCAAATTTATGTCACCCCAAATTTATGTCACCCCATGGTTCTGTCACCCCACATCCGTGTCACCCCACATCCATGTCGCCCCATAGCCATGTCACCCCACATCCACGTCAACCCCCATCTGTGTCACCCTATGTTTATGTCACCCCATAGCTGCGTCACCCCACATCCACGTCACCCTACAGCCATGTCACCTCCTGGTTCTGTCACCCCACAGCCGCATCACCCCATATTTGTCACCCCACACCCATGTCACCCCATATTTATGTCACTCAACATCCATCTCCCCCCATGATTCTGTCACCCCACATCCATGTCACCCCATATTTGTTACGCCATGCTGCGTCACCCCACAACCATGTCACCCCATGGTTCTGTCACCCCATATTTATGTCACCCTGCCTCCATGTCACCCCACCTCCATGTCACCCCACATCTGTGTCACCCCATGGTTCTGTCACCCCATATTTATGTCACCCACATCCGTGTCACCCCATGGTTCCGTCACCCCATGTTTATGTCACCCTGCCTCCATGTCACCCCACCTCCATGTCACCCCACATCCGTGTCATTCCATGGTTCCATCACCCCATTTTTATGTCACCCCACCTCCATGTCACCCCACATACGTGTCACCCCATGATTCTGTCACCCCATATTTATGTCACCCCACCTCTATGTCACTCCACCTCCATGTCACCCCACATCTGTGTCACCCCATGGTTCTGTCACCCCGCCTCCATGTCACCCCGTCTCCATGTCACCCCACATCCGTGTCACCCCACCTCCATGTCACCCCGCCTCCATGTCACCCCACATCCGTGTCACCCCACCTCCGTGTCACCCCACATCTGTGTCACCCCCTGGCCCCGTTGCGACTCACGCAGTGGGAACACGGTGGTGCCAGCGGTGAGGCTGTTGAGGGAGACGCCGTAGGGCGGCACGCTTTGGTTCAGGTACAGCAGGGAGTTGACAGCGAAGATCACAACCCCACCTGCACAGAGGGATGGCAGCCATGTGGCACCGGGTGACACCGCTGTGACACCGGGTGACACGAGGGTGGCACTGGCTGAGGTTCCATCACCAATACGTCACCAGGAATAGCACCAGGGTGGCATTGGGATGCCACCAGGGTGGCACCAGGATGACATCGGGAATGTCACCAGCAATGATACCAGGAATGGCACCAGGATGGCACCAGGAACATCACTGGGAACGTCACCAGGAATGTCATCGGGATGGATGGCACCAGGAACGTCACTGGGAACATCACTGCGAACGTCACCAGGATGGCACCAGGAACATCTCTGGGATGTCACCAGGAATGTCAGTGGGATGGCAGCAGGAATGTCACCAGAAATATCACTAGGATATCACCAGGATGGCGCCAGGATGGCAGCTGGAATGGCATCAGGATGGCACCAGGAATGTCAGTGGGATGGCACCAGGAACATCACTGGGAATTTCACCAGGAATGTCAGTGGGATGGCACCAGGATGTCACCAGGATGGCACCAGAAATGTCACCAGACATATCACTAGGATGTCACCAGGATGGCACGAGGAATGTCATTAGAACAGCACCCAAATGGCACCAGGAATGCCAGTGGGATGGCACTGGGATGACACTGGGAATGTCACCAGGAATGGCATCAGGATGGCACCAGGAAAATCACTGGGACAACACCAGGAATGTCATCGGAATGGCACCAGAATGTCACCAGGAACATCACTGGGATGGCACCAGGAACGCCATCGGGATGGCACCAGGATTACATTGGGAATGTCAGCAGGATGGCACCAGGATGGCACCAGGAACATCACTGAGATGTCACCTGGAATGTCACCAGGATGGCACTGGGATGGCACCAGGATGGCACCAGGAACATCACTGGGATGGCACCAGGAATGTCACCAGGATGGCACCGGGAATGTCACTGGGAACATCACTGGGAACGTCACCAGGATGGCACTGGAAACATCACTGGGATGTCACCAAGATGGCACCAGGAACACCACTGGGATGGCACCATGATGGCACCAGGAACGTCACCAGGATGGTACCAGGATGTCACCGGGAATGTCACTGCAATGACAGCAGGAGACCCAGAACACCACAGAAATGGACATCAAGGACATCACCCAAAACATCACCGAGGATGTCACCCAGGACGTCACCGGGATTGTTACCCACAATATAATTGTGACTGTCATCTAGGATGTCACCAGGATTGTCACCAAGGATGTCACCCAGAACACTGGCGAGGCTGTCATCCAGAATGTCAGCAGAAACAACACCCAGAACATCACCAAGGCTGTCACCCAAAATGTCACCAGGATTGTCACCAAGGACATCACCCAGAATGTCACCAAGGATGACACTCAGAATATCAGCAGAAACAACACCCAGAACATCACCAAGGCTGTCATCCAAAACGTCACCGGGACTGTCACCCAGAATGTCACCAACATCACCCAGAATGTCACCAAGGATGTCACTCGGAACACTGACAAAGCTGTCACCCAGACTGTCACCGGGATTGTCACCAAGAACATCACCCAGAGTGTCACCAAGGCTGTCACCCAGAACATCACCAGGAACAACACCCAGAATATCACCAAGGATGTCACCTGGAACACTGACAAGACTGTCACCCAGAATGTCACCGGGATTGTCACCCAGAATGCCACCAAGGTTGTCACCCTGAACGTCACTGGAATTGTCACATAGGATGTCACCCAGAACATCACCAGAAACAACACCCAGAACGTCACCAATGCTGTCACCTGGAACACTGACACGGCTGTCACCCAGACTGTCACCAGGATTGTCACCCAGGACAACACCAGGAATGTCACCAAGGGTGTCACCCGGAACACTGGCAAGGCTGTCACCCAAAATGTCACCGGGATTATCACCCAGCACATCATCAAGGCTGCCACCCGGAACACTGACAAGGCTGTCACCCAGACTGTCACCGTGATTGTCACCAAGAACATCACCCAGAGTGTCACCAAGGCCGTCACCCAAGCCATCACCGAACATTCCCCGCCACACCCCCACAACACCCTCAGACCACCTCCCCCACCCCCTCCTCACCACCACCAACCACAACGTCCCCAGAGGGGTCACCCGGCCCCCCGCAGCCCCCCACCCCCCCCGGCTCTCACCGATGGGTTTGGGGACGGCCAAGGCCTGCGTGCAGTCGAAGGGCAGATTGCTGAGGGACCAGATGACGGGGTGCACCTTCTGCATGATGTTCAGGGAGATGGCCACGATGCTGCACGTGTCCTGACGCACCGCCACGCGCCTGACGGGACGGGCTGTCACCTCACTGCCACCTCCCCATCACCATCACCTCGCTGCCACCTCACTGCCACCTCCCTTATCAATGTCACCTCACTGTCACCTCGCCATCACCGTCACCTCCCCGTCACCTCACTGCCACCACCTCATCACTGTCACCTCACTGCCACCTCCCTATCAATGTCACCTCCCCGTCACCTCACTGCCACCACCCCATCACTGTCACCTCGCTGTCACCTCACTGCCACCTCCCCATCCCTGCCACCTCACTGCCACCTCACTGCCACCACCCCATCGCCATCACTTCACTGCCACCTCCCAATCACTGTTACCTCCCTGTCACCTCACTGCCACCACCACATCACCGTCACCTCTGTCACCTCAGTGCCACCACCCCATCACCTCACTGCCACTTCACTGCCACCTCCCAATCAATGTCACCTCATTGCCACCACCCCATCACTGTCACCTCACTGCCACCTCACTGCCACCAGCCCATCACCATCAGCTCCCCATTAATGTCACCTCCCCATCACCTCTCCATCACTGCCACCTCCCTGTCATCTCCCCATCCCCACCACCTCCTCAT